TTTTATAGCACTCATTAAGGGACATAAAAGACAATTCTTTTCAGCGTTTTGGTGCTGAATTATAAATTCAATTAACTGGACACAGTTAACTTCATAGATCCAGAAATCCTTATATCAAAGAAGGAACTTCCACCTATAAGCAGGAAAAAAAAAAAGGATAAGCTCCTCTCTCCACCTTCCAAATCCCTCCACCCCAATTGAGCAGTCTCTGACATCGTCACTCATGTCTGCTTTTTCCCCTTCACTTGTGCCTTCTTCTCTGCTTCAGGAAAAAAAAAAAAAATCAAAATCAAGAAAACAAACAAACAAACAACCACAGCCTGGCCAACATGACAAAACCCCGTCTCCACTAAAAATATAAAAATTAGCCGGATGTGGTGGCGCATGCCTGTAGTCCCAGCTACTCACGAGGCTAAGGTATGAGAATCACTTGAACCGGGAGGCGGAGATTGCAGTGAGCCAAAATCGCGCCACTGCACTCCAGCCTGGGTGATAGAGCAAGACCCTGTCTCAAAAAAAAAAAAAAAAAAAAAAAAAAAACCACCAACCACCCTGAGACTTTAAATCCTCCAGCAAAATACAGAATCTCTCTTCAGCCTCAGTTTACTCCAGGGATAGTAATAGCCATAGTAATAGCCACAGGGCTGCTGTGAGAGTTAAATACAACATAATAATAACATAAACAATAAACCTAGCTGAGTACCTGGCAAGTATGCCATAGAAGATAATGCCATTAATATCATTTTCAAAAAACTTCACAAATAACCATCACGGTTATTAACATCATTTTCAAAAAACTTCAAGTCCTATCTCCTCTACTAACTTTTCCCAGTAATTTAATCAGCACTTATTGAACATATAATGTGTACCAGGCCCTAACTTAGGTCCCGGGGATGGAAAGATGAGTAAGGCTCTGTCCCCTTACTATGGGGGTCCAGACATGAGACTAAATACTGTGTCCTCGTTAACATATTCCTTCTCTAAATTCCTCTCCACGCACCACCCAGGCTGGCATCTGATTACACAGTGACCTTTTGCTGGTCTCTGGCTGATTCATATATGCCTATTATGTATGTCTATATATAGTGTCTCCCCAGCAGATTTATGTCAGAATAGTAGGAAAAGACAAAACAAAACACAAGCGCCAGCACCAGGAAGATCTGGGTTCCAGGCCAGCTCTACAGCTTAAAGAGGCGGAGCAGCAAGTAGTTCAAGTGTGAACTCTGCAGTCATGCATGATGGATCAAATCCCACTCCACCACTACTACTGCTGTGTGACCTCAGGTAAGTTACCTAACTCCTCTGTGCCTGTTTCATCTAAAACCAGGATAACAACAATCCCTGTCTCACAGGGATTTTATGTGGATTCAAAAAGACGACGTGTTTAACATGTTTAATACTACTTAGCTTAAAGCAAATTATACCCCAGAGAAGGCGACCTATGTCTAGCCCTGGTGTTCCTCATCTGGACACAAAAATGTTCATCTTGGAAAGTTAATACGAGGACCAAATAAAATAGTCTGAGGTAAGCACGGGCACAGTGTGTGGCACCCAGTGACTTCAGTGAGAATCCAATCACGGCTGGGGTCTCCTCTCATGAGCAAGAAGCAGATCTTTCTTCACACCTTCTTCACAGTGGTGCCCCATCAGTCCAAATTAGCATTCGCTAATTTAATTTGAATGGGAATGGAGGGAATGGAAAAGAATGAGGATTTCTAAAGCTATTCTTTAGAAGGCAATTCTTTGTATTGCATTTTTTAAATGAGGAGATGGTGGGATGGGGAAGACAAACAACAGGATACAGGACACGTGAATTTCATGCGAGTCCTGCAAATACCTATCTCTCGGCAAATGATTTTTCTGCCCGGTGTCCACCTTGGTTCAGTGAGTTGAAAGCGATGGGCAAAGCATTTCATCAAGGCCTCACGTCACCGAAAGCCTGGGTGAGAGTTAAGAGGGTCAGTGTTTCCCTGCAGCAACCAGGCCATGGTGGAGCAGCACAGTAGACTGACGTGTCCTGGCCAGTCACAGCTCTGGGGAGCCCCCTGTGGGCACACAGGGGGTCGGGGGGAAGGGGGAACAGACAGACAAGCTTCCATGGGTGGGCCACTCCTGAGCCACAGAAGGAAGAAACAAAGTTGACTGTTCAGAAGAATGTCCAGACCATCCAGTGATGAAGGGAGGGGTGCTGGCATTTTCTACCAAGCAGAAAACACAGAGCCTTCCTTTGCAGATTTTTAGAAAGGGGATCCACAGCAATTCCTCTGGCACATGTGAGCACGGACTGCCCGCTCTGAGGCAGGCGATGGGGGAGGGGGGGATAAGCCAGGTGGTCCCTCAGGGACCCTTCCAGCCCAAGGAATCTAAGAGTTGTTCCCAAGTCTCGAACATCCAGGACCATGGTATCATTACGTTCATCTTCACGTGGCATCCGAAGCAGCTTCAGGAAGCAACCTGGCAGGCTCAAAGGAGCCCTAGGAAATACAGAGAATCACAGCCCAGTGCCTGACTCCGCAACCACGTAGCTGTGCGACTCTACAGCCAAGTCTTTTCACCTGTCAAGGCCCAGTTTCTTTATCTATAACAGGAGAAAATTGCAGCAGAGAATCCCCAAGTCCCTTTCTAAATCTGTATGGCTATGTTAAAGGAGAAGAATGACCTCTTCCCTTCCTGCTCTCCCAAGCAGGGTCCACATCAGACAGGAGTGGACAAGAACTCCAGGAAACTTTGAAAATGCCTGGGGGAGGGGGAGAGACACAACAAAGCCCCTTACTTTCTTTCTTTCTTTCAAAGTCACTCCCAGCTTCTTTGGGACACAAAAGTATCTGTTAAGGTAAGTTAAACCTTCTCAAGATGAATTTTCCTGCTACTTTTAATTAAAAGTTCTTTAGAATTTAAAGAACACTATTCAGAAAAGGATGAAAAAAAAATTCATTGACACTCCCCCCTCCCCCTCTCCCCTTTCCCAAGGAAAAGAAAAAGCTGTTTTGTGCACAGCTCGCCCGGTCCACACTGTACAAAAGGAGGTGGGCTGGCGGCAAGACACATGAGATGACCCTTTGACCCCGGACCGCTGACAAGTCCTCAATGGCATAAATACCAGATAATCAATCACATGCCAGGAGGGCGAGTCCCCCTGCCCTCGCCCCAGCGTTGGGGTTTATGAGAGATACACTGTAAAGAGACGCTGGCTTCTTAAAAGAGGCCCCCCTCAGCATTCCAGGGGCCAGCCATAATCCCGAACCGGGCCTGGCCAGATCCTTGACCATCTCGTTTTACAGCTTTCATCGCGAGCTTATAAAGCACTCTGCCCTCCCCATCCCCTGCTGCAAGCTGGCCTTCTTGGTCTGAAATGAAGTCAAACTCCCCACTGCGAACGCAAACGGGGACTCTGGAAATCACTGCAAAGAAGGCGAGGGCAGAGGACAAGCAGGAAATGGGGCAGGTCGCCAGTAACAGCCCAATGCGGGGGAGAGGGGAAGGGAGCCAACCAGGACCTGGGGAAGTGACGGAGAATCAATAAGGATGATACTGATGACAGTGGTAACAACTGTGCTAACAGTAGTTAGTACTGGCTCAACACTTAGTAAGCACCTCATGTGTATCCTGTTATCTGTCCTCAAAAATAACTCTAGAAGGTGGGCACTATTACTGCTATGCCCATTTTACAGATAAGGAAGCTAGGTGGAGGGCTCAGAGTTCAAATAATTTGTCCAAGGCCACAATGACAGCTAATGACAGGGAGGATGAGATTTAAACCCACGGAAATGGCTCAGGTCTAGATATACCTCCACCCCACACCACCAAGTCTATGGATTTCTGCCCGGAAGGAGAAGAAGGCAGAAATCATTCCGCACTTTTAGGTCACTCACGTGGCTCATGCCTGTAATTCCAGCACTTTGGGAGGCCAAGGAGGGTGGATCAACTGAGGTCAAGAGTTTGAGACCAGCCTGGCCAAAATGGTGAAACCCCTGTCTCTACTAAAACTACAAAAATTAGCTGGGTGTGGTGGTGCACATCTGTAATCCCAGCTACTGGGGAGGTTAAGGCAGAAGAATCACTTGAACCCAGGAGGCGGAGGTTGCAGGGATCTGAGATCACGCCACTGCACTTCAGCCTGGGCAACAGAGTGAGAATCCATCTTAAAAAACAAACAAACAAACAAACAAAAAATATATATATATCTCAACATATCATCTGAATAGTCAAATCTCCAAGATAGCCAGAAACTAGGCTAGTTTTAGTGGAGAAAGAGTTTGTACATCCAACCCACAAATTCTGAACCCCACTGTGGTACAAGATTCTCATCTCTGTCCTTTAACCCACCTTAGACCCCAGGAGCCCTGGCAGTGAACGCCGTGTCCGGAATGTCTCTAAGGTAATGATGGCCTTCCAAAATTTTGCTCTTGCTCTGAAGCAGTTTACCACGATTCTAAACTAGCCCTGGCAAACAGGGAAGTGGGGCGAGGAGAAGAAGACAGACGCTCTCGGTAACTAATTTTGATATGCTTTTGTTTCAGGGTCAAAGGTTAAATATGGCCACACTAATCCGCTACTTCCAAAATTAAAGCACAAGGGAGCTTTTTCTGTAGCTTAGCAAGAGGGCTTTTTCTCATTGCTGGGGAAATGGTACTGATCCCGCCCATTGAAGGGGGATGCTCGGCTGTTTGAGACAGAGATTTATGCTAATTTGGACAGAACATCCCAGCTCCCGGCTGCAGCGTTGAAGTTATTTATTATTAAGACCAAAGTGAAAGAAATGCAAAGTGATTCTTAAAAATTTTAATAGTCCCTCTGTCCCACCCCACCGGCTTTTGAATAATGCTTCCTCAAATGTCCTACAAAGGAGAGAAGAGAGTAAATGCTTGGGAACCTGATACTCACAAACTGTACACACACACACACACACACACACACACACACACACACACCAGCTTTAGCTGTAAGAGAAACCATTAATGATCAACCCGCACATTTGCAGTGTTTCGCAGAGTGCAAAGTACGCCTCCTTCATCTGCTCTTCTCAGCAGGCTCACTGGGCAAGTGGCTTTTTGACTCTCTTCTACCCATGAGGAAACCAAGCTTCTAAAAGGACAGGCAATTTGCCCGAAGTCTTGCTCCTAATAAGTAGCAGCACCAGGGCTAGAAATGTCTTTGTTCCTGTGGCTGCATTCCTGAGACTGTAGCAGACATACAGATATCCTTCATGAAGAAATACGGGGTCCCCTCAACAAACATGAGACCCACAGCAGGATGCCAGAAGGAACTCTGGTCAGAAATGCCTCTCCAGAACCCATTTTCCTGAAGCTTATCCCTGGGCTATGGTGTACTCCTGAAGTGGCAGGTGAGAGAGGGGTGAACATGCCTGGGGGCCTGAAATTGAGGATTCTCTCTCCTTGCCTCCTGCTCTGACCAACAGCTAAGTTTTCTCTTCCTTAACGCCGGCTGCGGGAATAGTCACCACCCTACGGCAGAGGAGAGCTCCCCAGGGAGGCAGTTGCCTTGCAAGAAATGATTGTCCAAGTGTCAACAACCTGCTGCTTCCCAGAGCCTCAGGGTCAGAGGCCAGGAGGGAGCACAATGGCTTTCTGGAGCTGAAGGGTCCGGGGAGAGGGGCCTCTGGGGATCTCTGGAATGTGAAGGCTGTGAATCCAGGCACCGGGGTCTCCTGTTTTTGCCCTTTTATATCCTTCCTCCCTCCTCAAATCCCAGACAACACTAACCTGAAAGACAGTAGATCAAGAAAGGGAGGGGATTAGTAACAGCCTACATACACATGCATACACAAAAAAGTTTATTTCACAAGAAAGGGCCAGCAAATCCTTCTCCGGCACACAAAATAAGTGCACCCCAAAGCAGCTTTGAGTGTCTCCTCCTCCTGCTTCCAAGCCTTCCCTGCCCACTCACCCCACCAGAGTTGGGTTATCCACCTTTTCTGCACCCATCATGCAAGCCACAAAGAGATCTCCTTAGTCTCTGCCCTCTTCTTGTCTGCTGGCTCCTGAGGGCAAGTCATCTTCGGATGCAGGCACCTGCACAAGTGGTTGCTTGTCAAACCCCACTGAATGAATGAGATTTGCAACAGAATTATACAGTTTGGGGAATCTCTTCCTTCTGAAACTTTCTACACTCTAGAGGTTATGGATCTGGAATGGTTTGCCTGTGGAATCTGTCTCATTGACCCATTCGGATGACACTGAATGAAAAACCTTAAGATAATCTCTCTTCCTAACTTCTGCCCACCACCTAACACTGAATACTTAATTACTGAATACTTAAATCACTGAATGGACCAGTGTTTCCCTCATTATTTTCTCTATCATTCAAAACAATAGTGATTAACTTGCTTTTCTACCGCATTGGAGGCCGTGGTATGTGTAGGGAGAGAGCCAGGCAGGTGCAAGATAAAAGCAGCCAAGGGAAGAAAAGGGCCCAGAAAAGCTGGGATGGGAGGCTGTGCAGAGGGCACAGACGGGGGTGTATTGGCATTGCAGGGCACCCTGAAGCCAGAGCCCATGACAGGAAACCCCAGCAACAGGAAACATCACAACGACATCACCTTACATCTGAATCGTGCTTTACTGCTTGCAAAGACCCTACCCCATTCTAAGACCATTTTGGTCCTCACATCCCTTTTTGAGGTACGAAGGGCAGGTATGGTGTCCTAATTTTTCAGACAAGGAATCTGAGACTTGCAAAGGTTGAGTGACTCATCCAAGGTCCTTTAGCTGACAAGTGAAGAGCAAAAATCTGAAGCCAGACAAAAACAGATTCTTCATTCCTGCTTCTAATCAGGAAGCTCCCTTTTGTTTTTGATAAATCATACAATAAACATTTATTGAATGACTATTTGAACTAACACAGTAGAAAGGCCCAAGGCCCCCAAGTGGTTCAGTCTTCACCCTGACTCATGGAGTGGCAAGATAGCTAAGGGCAAGTGGTGTACATCTATGATGCCGGAGACCAGAAGGGGGGTCAGCTGTGAAAAGGGTATCATAGAGAAGACAAATGAGCTGAGAAGACTCTATTAACACCAGGCAGGCAAGGCTAGGCATGGTGGCTCATGCCTGTAATCCCAACACTTTGGGAGGCCGAAGTGGGCAGATCACCTGAGGTCAGGAGTTCAGGACAAGCCTGGCCAACATAGTGAAACCTCGTCTCTAATAAAAAATACAAAAATTAGCTGGACATGGTGGTGCACGCCTGTAATCCCAGTACTTTGAGAGGCCAAGGCAGTAGGATCACCTGAGGTCAGGAGTTCGAGACCAGCCTGGTCAACACAGTGAAACACGTCTCTACTAAAAATACAAAAATTAGCCCAGTGTGGTGGCACATGCCTGTAATTCCAGCTTCTCAGGAGGCTGAGGCAGGAGAATCACTTGAACCTAGGAGACAGAGGTTGCAGTGAGCTGAGATCTTGCCACTGCACTCCAGCCTGGGCAACAAAGCAAAACTCTGCCTCAATATGTGTGTGTGTACACACACACACACACGTATATGTATGTGTATATGTGTGTGTGTATATATATACACGCATATATATACACACATGTATATCAGGCAGACAAGACACATGACAGTGTGGGGGTTAGTGGAAGATGCATGGAGGAGAAAAACAGCCAGGAGAGTCTGGGAAATTCTCAGTGGCTCAGTACACGCATCATAGGGGGTGGCAAAAGATGAGGCCTGTGACTCTGATTGTGAGGGACCTTCTAGGCCATGCAGTAGAGTCTAATATTATCTGGAAATTCTAAACCCTGGTTATACATAGGAATCTCCTGGGGAGCTTGAAAATACATCCATATCTGAGCCCCATGTGGGAGATTCTGATTCATCCGGGTTGAGGTGGGAGATTCTGCTTGCTATTAATACATTTTTTTCATAAAGTTCCTCTAAATGATTTCACTGTGTAGTTAGGGTAAGACAACAAGGATCCTTTGAAGGATAGGAGAGAGAGATGCAAGAGTAGGTATGGGTGTTAAGATGCCAGAGCCATCCTTACCGAAGATGTAACACGTGAGGTCAAGCCCCAAAACCCTGGGCTGCAGCCATCAACTCTGCATCCACCCTCCATTGCCACCTTTGTCTTACAGGAATGAGGCAGTCGTTCAAAGACAGCGGGCATGCCACCATCCTGGGGTCTTCTGTGATAAACCTCTCACTAGGGTCCTTTGCCGGTGTCACTTGCCTTCAGACCAACAAGCTGCAGCTGTCAAACCAAGGGCTCCTGAGAGATCAGGCAGGGAAGTAACATGGGGGAAATAGGTGTCTGGCCACAGCAGACTGGATTTGGGGCAGACAAAGGGATGGGGAACCTAAAAACATCACTCCTCAATTCTTAGTGCAGGTATATCACATCCAATTGCCTTGTTTTATTACTTATCTTTTTAGATACGTATGTTTTCCTCCCTAGCAATAGTTAGCTTTCTGAAAGCAGGGCTGAGCCTGATTTTTCTATTTTGTAAAAATGCACAGAGTGCTCAGAACAGCACAGCTAGTAGGCAAAGTGAGGTTGGAGGAACTCCAGGCCATCAGCATCAGGCTTGCTATGGGGGCTTCTCAGGCCCATGTAGAGCCCTAGGGCAGACCCTGACTCACAGATGGCCAAGGAGGGCTGCCTGGGGGCAGAATCTCCTACTCTGGAGATTTCCAGGAAAGGGAAAGAGGAGCTTTTCTGGAGATGGCATAGAGTTGTGGGTAGAGGGACAGAAGGAGTGGTCTAAGACCAGGGATTCCTGGGTTCTAGCCCACAGTGCGTCTCTCTAGCCTGCTGTGTGATCCCAAGCAAATCAAAGAACCCCTCTGAAGCTCAGCATCATGCTCCCTAAAGCCCCTTGCAACAGTTCTACAGTCTAGGAGTCTACAGATTTTAGAATTCTAGGACCCCTAATTAGTCTCTCCCAATGTGAAAACACCCCCACACTGGGATCAGTATATGTAAATGGCAATTCCAGGCTGTACTTTTGAAAGGTGGGCGATGTGGCGCCATGACTCGGTACTGGATGAGACAAGTCCTCTTTCTGAGTAGCAGCCAGGCTCCCTCTTGACATCCAGGAGCTTAAGATTTGGAGCCCAGTGAGTATCCCAGAACAAGGAATCTAAGCTAGGGAGCCAGACGAGGTCAGTGCCAAGACCTTGTCCTCTGGACCACTTCTCTGGAGACAGGGGATCCCGAGCCGTTTCAAAATAGAAAAACCCTTGGTGCTCATTCATTTGTCAAAAGCCTCAAATGTGTTCCCCAGAGGAAAGCAGTCAGAGCAACTCTAGGGCCCAAGGGGCAGCTTTCAAATGCAGAGTCTCTCCCTTGTCAATTCCTGTAACTAAAATGAATATGGAAAAGATAATTACCTTTAAAACATACTTAATACTTGAACACATTATCTCTACCTGCAGAAAAAGAATGTTATCTGATGGGATCTTCCCCATAAGCTTAATCAAATTGCTATCTTAAAACTCTCTGGAGTCCTGTGAAACAGTAATAGAAAATCCGAAGCAGAGGCTGGAAGCATTTTATATTTGTTTGGTTGAGGGGAACGTGCATCCCATCTGACAATGCACACTTAAGAGACAAAGTCATTTCCAATCTGTAATGGATCTTCTCCTACTGGGGGCAGGGAACATTGCATCTGACCCAAACCTGCAATCCCTCTGTTAGCTAACTTCTCCTAAGGTTCAGAGAAGATTTCTTTTTTTAATGCCTTTTTCCTAATGCCTGGTTGGGGCTCATCAGCTCCAGGAAATCTTCCCTAGTTGAGCCTGGGATACTTAATGTATGGAGATGCTTAACTTGTTACTTAACTCTGGGTTTTAACGTGGCAAATGAATTGATGCCTATATTTTCCTCAGTCTGCCCAACCCCCGGGCAGCGCCATTTGTTAAATTAGTAGCAGAAGTAAATTACCTGCCCAAATCCAGCTCAGGGCGAGTGACCATTTGCAAGCCTAGAGAAGACCAACAGGGAAACAATTTCTAAGAAGACTGAATGTGGTGACTGGATACGTTCCCAGCATCTCAAGCTTGCCTGGAATGGCCGAGTAAACAGCCACTGCAAAACTGCTTGGCGGGCCCAGTTTATCTTGTTGACAGAAGCAGCAATAGGTGAGAGGTGGTAATGAGTTGCATCTCTGTTAGATACTTCTCCTGCCTGGAGCCCCTGGAAGGTCCTCTGGATACAGGGTCTGGTCCCTGGTGCACAAGTAAGGAACATCAGAGATTATGGGGGAAAAAAATGAATGGGTGTAGGGAGAACACTAGGAAACTATCAAAATGATCATCAAGACATAGGTCTGTTGGTAGGAAAATCACAGATTACAAAACAGCATACACTGAATCTCATAGCCCCATTTGTGATTAAAAGAAGAATCAGGGTGTGGTGACTCACGCCTGTAATCCCAGCACTTCCAGAGGATAAGGCAGGTGGGTCACCTGAGGTCAGGAGTTTGAGCCCAGCCTGGCCAACATGGTGAAACCCCATCTCTACTAAAAAATAAAAAATTAGCCGGGCGTGGTGGTGCATGCCTGTAATCCCAGCTACTCAGGAGGCTGAAGCAGGAGAATCACTTGAACCCGGAAGGTGGAGGTTGCAGTGAGCCGAGATCATGCCATGGCACTCCAGCCTAGGTGACATAGCAAGACTGTGTCTCGGGGAAAAAAAAAAAAAGATAGTGGGACACAGAGAACATATTTCTTTTGTTTGTAAGTATTTTCTAATTTCTCCATACTGAAACCGTATTACAGGTATGATTTTTCTTAAAATGGGGTGCCTGGGTCAATACCGTCCACATCTTGCTTTTAACAAGAGTGACTCCTCCCAAGTCAGATGATGGCTGGCTTTTCTTCTAGAAACCTACACAGAACGCAACTACTCCGTCTCCTCCTGACTTGGCAGATGTCAGACTTACTACTTCACCAGATCAGAGTTCGGACCTGATCCTTCCTTCCTGTTTCTGAAAATGGAGGAATGGGGAGGGCAAGGCGGCATCCCGGAGCCACCCCTACTCCCTGCTGCCTTCTGTGAATAGAATGATTCTAAAGGTGCCACAGTCTCCTGCACTGTCTGAATGGTCACTATAATGCAAAGTGTTACCTAGACAGTCCTGTAATGCTGCAGGTATAGAAGACTGGGTTAAGTCTGTAAGAACCAACAACATACCTGGAAGTTGTTTTTTATTTTAATTGAAATATAATTGATGTACCATAAAATTCCACCCTTTTAATTTGTTGTTGTTGTTGTTGTTGTTGTTGCTGTCGTTTTTGCGGGGGATTGTTTTTAACCGGGAGGGTCGTGCTCTGTTACCCAGCCTGGAGTACAGTGGTGCCATCAAAGCTCACTGCAGCCTCAAGCTCCTGGGCTCAAGTGATCCTTCTGCCTCAGCCTCCCAAAGCATGAGCCACTGTGCCCGGCCCTTTTATTGGTTTTTAATGTATTCACAAAGCTGAATACCATTACCACCACTATCTAATTCCAGAATATCTTCATAACTCCAAAAAGTGACTACCCATTAGTAGTCACTTCCCATTTTCCTCTCCCCAAAATCTGTGGCACCCACTAACCTACTAACCATCTAGAGCTTTCTGTTCTGAACATTTTCACATAGATGGAATCATATAATTCATGGCCTTTCATGTCTTGCTTGTTTCACTCAGCACGGGATTTCCGAAGTTCATCCATGCTGTAACATGTATCAATATTTTGCTCTTCTTATGGCCAAATTACAGTCCATGGTATATGGATATACCACATTTTGTATATCCATGCATCAGCTGATATACAGTTGGGTAGTTTCCACTTTGATTGGCTACTGTGAACAACACTGCTATGAATGTTCATGAGGAAGTTTTTACATGGACACATTTTCAATTCTCTTGGGTTGGGAGTTACTTTCCGAAAATAAATTCTTGTTATTAGGTAGTCATTTGTCTCTCTCCCACATTAAAAACAAAAAGAGCACAGGATAGTTAAAAAGATCAGAGACGGCCGGGCGCGGTGGCTCAAGCCTGTAATTCTAGCACTTTGGGAGGCCGAGACGGGTGGATCACGAGGTCAGGAGATCGAGACCATCCTGGCTAACACGGTGAAACCCCATCTCTACTAAAAAATACAAAAAAAAAAACACTAGCCGGGCGAGGTGGTGGGTGCCTGTAGTCCCAGCTACTCGGGAGGCTGAGGCAGGAGAATGGCGTGAATCTGGGAGGTGGAGCTTGCAGTGAGCTGAGATCCGGCCACTGCACTCCAGCCTGGGCAACAGAGCGAGACTCCATCTCAAAAAAAAAAAAAAAAAAAAAAAAGATCAGAGACGTCCAACTACTTGGGTTCCAAATAATTGATACCTGCCTGTCCTTACAACACTCCAATCTCACACACACACTTTAACTGCATCCCCTCTACTCCCTCCGCCCGGGGCTCTGCAGGACCCCATCCTTAACCCACAGCCCTCACCAGCCCAAATTATGCCTCTAAGCAGGAATCTTCACTGCAGCATATGAAATATTTAAGCTGCTTTTCTAAATATATACATTATTTAACCTACAGTCTATAAAATATTTATATTGTTTGTCTCTGCTACCCCCAAATATCTGCATTATTTACAGTACAGTTGGGGAAACATTAACCTATGGGTTTTGCCTTGTGCATTTTTGTTCCTATTCCCTGTGTCACTGGGGCACACACAGATTGGAGAGAGGCAATAGTGACAGTGCTCTTGCCCAGGTCACACAGAAGGCCCTGGGAATGCAGGAGATAACAGCGTCCAAAGCCAGATGGACAGCACTGTGGTCACCTCTGTCACCTCGTGGTACCATGGGAACAGGGAGCAAACACCCCGTTATTTCCCGACGGCAGTTTTGTGTTCCAAACTCAGCGCCCCGCTGCTGTTGATACTTAATTGATCCCCAAGTCTCCCACATGGGGAGTCACTCCCACTTCCAGCGGAGCTCATTCTTATTTGTGGCCTCCGTCACCCCCTCCAGGTGTGACCGCAGTCCTTATGTCAGTGTAAGAAAAAGCTCTCTTCTTACTCACTTCCTCTGTCAGGCCCATAGTGAACAGGACAGCAGCCCCGACCTCTGAGTGCTGGTACAGGCCCATTCCCCTGTGCTGCATTCTCCATCTGGCATTTATCTGTTCTAACAGCGGGAAACTGAGGCACCTGCCAGTGTGGCTGAGATACTGATGTCCATGAATGCTCCCAAAACTCATTTACTTGTACTCGCAGCCTTTTCTTTTTAGAAGTCCTCCTTCCATAGACAGAGACTCGAAGGTGATATTTTTCTTATTTATAAAGTGACTTTAATTTTTAAAATTATGTAAGTGATACGTGCTTATAAATCATCACTATTATTACTCAAAAATAGATAAAGCAGAAAGTAAAACACCTTTGCCCTATAATCCCACTTCTAAAGATCATCATTGTTAACAGGTATAGAGCGTTAGAGAGTCTTATAAGATGGCTTTAGTATTTTATATGAAATGGGACCACACTATATAACCTGTTTTCTCTAACCAGCTTTTATCATGCAAAACATCATGGGCATCTTTCCACACCACCATTAACAGACTCCTTACCTTTGGATATTTAGGTCATGCTCATTGCTTTGTAATTACAAATAATGTTGCAATCAGCATCCCTAAGGAACGTTTAGAAACTTTGGTACGTAAAGGCCAAAGTCGGGGATGAAACGCCAAGGGTTTCTGAGCATTTGCCACACTGTCTCAGGAGCCTGCTGATACCAGGCCCTGCTGCCACTGCGGTCGGTGGTTGAGACACTGGTCCCCGGACTCCTCAGGGAGCAAAGGGAGCAACCCTGGGCCCGGCTTGGCGGCACACCCCTCCTTAACTTAGACACCTGCAATGAAATGCCGAGAGTGTGCAATGAACTTTCTCCTCTCCTGGCTGTCTAACTCAGAAGGTTGTCTCCAACTCCTCCTCCTCCTCCTCCTCCTCCTCCTCCTCCTCCTCCTCCCCCCACCTCCACTACCCTTGGGTACCTCTACTTACCCTGCCTCTGTTTTGAATCTCTAAAATAATGTGACAAGTTAATGATGGTACAATTATCTAAATGTTGAACAGACATGTTATCTAAGTGAGTCGGATTGAGATTCCATCCTGCTGACAATAAACATCAATGGTGGAGCAGAAAGCGATAGGCAAATTATAGCAAACCCTGCAATTTCAATGCTATTAACTTTGGAGGAATAACAGCCTTGAGGCCTGTAAACTCTGAATAAAATAGGCCCTTGTGTTTGTCCAACTATTAAATCAAAATGCTACCAACATCCTAGAAAAAACAAGGCGATTTATGGCCTTTCAAGTTTCAGTTACACATTGGTTTTTATTAACTCCTTTCTGTCATCGGGCAGCCGTGGCGTCACTAAGGAGAAGGGTGAGAAGTCAGAGAGGAAAGACAGGAGTGCACAGTGGGAGAGAGAGGGATAAAGGAGAAGCTTGGGGGGCTGAGCATGGGCACGAGGGGAGACGAGTGGAAACCTGACATCAAGAACTGAGGTTGATTATCAGGACTCAGATGTGGGGACAATTCTGAGAGTGAAAGGGCAACTCAGACCAGTGAGTATGGTGAGTCCCACCAGAACACCCCAAGAAACACCAACCTGGAATCCCAGTCCTGCCACTGGATGAGTCATATTATTTAAGCCTCTCTGAGGCTGTGATTCCGCATCAGTGATGCAGACAGCGAAGCCCCCTGAGTGGTGTCCTGATGACTATATTGGACCATACATGAAAAGCAGCAGTGCTGAGCACAGACCACGCTCTGAATAATAGTCCTCAAAGACCAGACTCTATCCTTCCCCTCCAATTCCTAGAACAGTTTTTAAGAGGCAAAAGATCGTCATCTTTAATCCCTTCTTCAGACACAGTCGGTATTTAATACATTGTTACTGAATAAGCTACTAAATAAAGTGGAGGAATTCTTGTCTACTGGTGAGGGACAGAAGCTGCAGGCCTCTAAAAATAACAGTAGCAAGCAGCTACCACTTACGCATACATCAGTCCTCCTTTCCAGGGCTCAGGGCTTCACATGTATGATTTTTTTTCTTTTTTTCTTTTTCTTTTTTTTTTTTTTTTTGAGACGGAGTCTCACTCTGTCACCCAGGCAGGAGTGCAGTGGCGTGATCTCTGCTTACTGCAAGCCCTGCCTCCCAGGTTCACACCATTCTCCTGCCTCAGCCTCCCAAGTAGCTTGGACTACAGGTGCCCGCCACCACGCCTGGCTAATTTTTTGTATTTTTAGTAGAGATGGGGTTTCACCGTGTTAGCCAGGATGGTCTTGATCTCCTGACCTCATGATCCGCCCACCTCGGCCTCCCAAAGTGCTGGGATTACAGGCGTCAGCCACCACGCCTGGCCCCACATGTATGATTTTATGTAGTTCTTACGGCAACCATTATGATTATTAATCATAGTTTACAAACGTGAAAAACTAAGGCTGAGAAAAACACAGACCATCAACACAAGATCAGAATCTTAGGCTGTCCTTGGAACCAGAGAACCCCCCAAAGAGCACTTTTCTTGCCCAATTCCCACACCCTACCTTGAGAGAAGCAAGGAAATGAAGCCATTTGTCCCGTATGAAGCAAGTCCATAGAAGAGCCAGGATAAGAACCTAGTTCTCCTTCTCCTAATTCATTATTGCTTCCAAACACCATGCTGCCTCCATATCCCCAATGATAATTTGCAATCACATTTCTGCTAGGGTGAGAAGCCAGGGAAGGACAAGGTCTGTGTTCTGCCCACTGCCCAACGGCATACATGTCCGGCATCCCCATCCCGGGGCCCAGCATCCATGTCCAGCATCCCTGTCCCGGGATCCAGCAGCATCCATGTCCGGCATCCCTATCCTGGGGCCCAGCGGCATCCACGTCCAGCATCCCCATCCTGGGGCCCAACATCCATGTCCAGCATCCCCATCCCGGGTCCCAGCGGCATCCATGTCCAACATCCCTGTCCCAGGACCCAGTGGCATCCATGTCCGGCATCCCCGTCCCGGGGCCCAGCATCCATGTCTGGCATCCCAGTCCCGGGTCCCAGCATACATGTCCAACATCCCTATCCCAGGACCCAGCATCCATGTCTGGCATCAAGCGACACTCAAGATGTCTGTGGAGGAAATGAGCTTCAGCCCTTTCTAGTCCAACCCTGCCTTGCATCGATTTTCCTTCTCCAATCCCAAAAGAGCCAAACACCATTGATCCCCTCAAATCAC